TCCTGCCTCCTCCTGCCTGCTCCCTGCCTCCTCCTACGCCCCCTCCTCCTTCTCCTGCCTCCTCCTACGCCCCCTCCTCCTACGCCCCCTCCTCGCCCCTCCTCTCCTCCTCGCCCCCTCCTGCCTCCTCCTACACCCTCCTGCCTCCTGCTGCTCCAGCTGCCTCCTCCTCCCTCCTTCCCCACTTCTCCTGGGGCTCCTCCTTCCGGGGCCTCCCGCGGCCTTCCACTCTCCCTCTTCCTGCTCATCCCTCCTCCTCCTCGTCCTGCCTCCTCCTCCTCCTCCTCCTCCTCCTCCTCCTCCTCCTCTCCTCCTCCTCCTCCTCCCCTCCCCCTCCTCATCCTCATCCTCATCCTCATCCTCATCCTCATCCTCATCCTCATCCTCCTTCTTGTCCTGCCTCTTCCTCTTCCGCCTCCTGCCTCATACTTCTCCTCCTCCTCCTCCTCCTCCTCCTCCACCTGCTTCTCCTCCTGCCTCCTCCTCCTCCTCCTACCTCCTGCCTCCTCCTCCTCCTCCTCCTCCTCCTCCTCCTCCTCCCTCTCCTAATCCTCGTCCTCATCCTCATCCTCGTCCTGCCTCTTTCTCTGGCCTCCTCCTGGATCCCCCTTGAGCCTCCTGCCTCCTCCTGGGGCCTCGTTGGGCCTCCCGTTGCCTCCTGGAGCCTCTGGGTGCTCCTGGAGCCTGGCCTCCTTCTCCTCCTGCCCCGACCTTCTCCTTGGGTCTCCTGCCTCCTCCTGGGGCCTCATGGGGGGTCCTGGAACTTCCAGGAGCCTCCTTCCTGGAGCCTTCTGGGGCCTCCCGGGGCCTCCTGGGGCCCGGGGTGCTTGTGGGACCTCCCGGGGCCTCCTGGGAAACTCCTGGGGCCTCCTAAGGCTTCCAGGTGGCTCTGGGGCCTCTGGGAACTCCTAGTGCCTCCTGGGGCCTCCTGGAGCTTCCTGTGGCTTCCTGAAACCTCCTGGGGGTTCCTGTGACCTTTGGAAGCTTTCCGAGTGCTCCCGCTCGAGACTTCCCCGCGATGCTCGCGCTCGAGACTTCCTCCAGATTCAAGCCTGGGGGGCCAACGAACTACGCCGTTACAAAATCCCACCAGCCCTTTTGGGCGTAGGTGGTTTAGGGTGTTTCTTCTTCCACCCCTCCCCTGCCCCCTCCCCTGGACCTGGACGGGGCGTTCCGCGAGTCGTCGGAGCGTCCAAAACGGCCTCGGGGAGGAAGCCAAGATCATTGGGTTTACCACGGTTTTGGACCCATTGTGGCCCCTTCGGGAGGCGACGCTAATTCAGGACCCCCCCCCTTCTTTGATCGATCTCTTCCGAGATGGCCCCACGAGCGCTCCCAAGGCTCCCAAGGGTGCCCCAAGAGGTGGCCAGGAGGCCCCAGGAGGCCCCCAAGAGGCCCCCAGGATGCCCCCAAGAGGCTCCCAATAGACCCCCAAGAGGCCCCAAGTGGCCCCCCAGAGGCACCCAAGACGCTTCAAGAGGCTCGGCGACAATGCCAAACTGATTGATTTTACTAAGGTTTTGGCCACATGTTGGCCTCCTGGGGGGGTGCACTGTTTATGATGACTCGAAGAGCGCCTGGGAGAGCCCAAGATGACCTCCAAGATGGCTCAAGATATCCCAAGCTGCTTCAAGATGGCTCCCACGATGCTCCAAGAGGCCCGAAGACCGCTCCATGATGGCTCCAAGTGGCCAAAGAGCCCCCTCAGGAGGCCCCGAAGAGGCCCAAATCCTTCCCAAACCTTAGGACAATCAATGCTTTTGCCTTTCTCGCCGTTTCGCTTCCGATGGCCATCCGAGGCCTCAAGATGGCTCCAAGATGGCCCAAGAGGGCTCCAAGAGCGGTCCCAAGGCTCCCAAGAGCGCTTCAAGAGGGCTCCAAGAGGCGCCCAGGAGGCCCCAGGAGGCCCCAAGAGGCCTCCAAGAGGCCTCCAAGGGGCTCCCAAGAGATGCCCAAAAGGCCCCAAGAAGCTCTCCGAGGCACCCAAGACGCTCTAAGAGGCGCCTGGGACCGCCAAGCGGCCCCCAAGACGCTCCAAGAGGCCTCCACTGGGGGACCCTTCCTCTGTGTGCTGACCACTTCCCTGATCGAGGCAATTCCTCTGGGAATCGTTTCGGGATGGGCTGGTGGGGTTACGCGAAGCGCCTAGAATTTGGATGACCCCGCTCGGATCCCAATATGGAGGTGGAGGGAGGGCAGGTTCAGGCCCGAGGAGCCCAATTAGCAGCAAGAAACGCAGGCCCCATAGGGAGTGGGTCCCCGTTTGAGACATCCTCACGGCTTGCCCCCTTGGGGTGCTCAAGTGCTATTTATGCCTGGTAGAGTTTGCCGATGATCCGCTCGGATTACCCACATGAAATGTGGGCCCCTATGGGGACGAGGCTCCCGCCTGAGACTTCCTCGCAATCCATTCACAGACAAAGCCCCCGCTGGAGACATCCTCACGATTTGCCCCTTTGGGGCGCTCAAGTGTTATGCCGATGACCTGCTCGGACTCGAACATAAAGTGCGGGCCCCTCGGGGAGGGAGCTCCCGCCTGAGACTTCCTTTAACTGCGCTCACAGACGAGGCCCCCGCCAGAGACATCCTCACGAGTTGCCCCCTTGGGGTGCTCAAGTGTAATGCCTGGTAGAGTTTGCCGATGACCCGCTCGGATTGCCAACACGAAATATCCGCCGACCCTGTAGGCGTGTGGAAGAGGCTTTGTTGTTTGCTGCTTCTTCCTCGTCGTTTTTTGCCCTTTCCTTTTCCTCGTCGTCTCTGAATCGAAGGGAAGCCCCTTCCCTTTCTTCCCTTCCCCGCGCGAGGAAGGGGGGGGGTCCCGTTCCTTTTTCTCGTCGTCTCTGAATAAAAGAGAAGCCCCTTGCCTTTCTTCCTTTCCCCGCGTGGGGGGGGGCGGTCCGGGGGGGGGTAGCGAGGGGGGTCCTGGGTCAGATGCGCCGCCCTCCTGGGGATCCTCGGTCAGAGGGAACCCCCTTCCCTTTCTCCCCTTCCCCGCGCGGGGGGGGGGGTCCCGGAGAGGTAGCGAGGGGGGGTAGCGAGGGGGGTTAGCGAGGGGGGTCCTGGGTCAGATACGCCGCCCTCCTGGGGATTCTCTTGCTCCTCCTCCCACCTGTTCCTCCTCCTTCACTCCTCCGTCTCCTCCTCCTCCCCGCCCTCTCCCCCCCGTTTCCCTCGAGAGCCGATGCCTCCAGGGTCGGCGGCACAGGCCGTAAGCCAGCGCAATGGTCCCCATAGTGACGAGGCTCCCGCCTGAGACTTCCTCGCACTTCTTTCACAGTCGAAGCCACCGCTGGATACATCCTCATAACTTGCCCCTTGGGGAGCTCAAGTGTAATGCCTGGTAAAGTTTGCCGACGACCCGCTCGGATTCGAACATGAACTGCGGGCGCCATATGGACGAGGCTCCCGCTTGAGACTTCCTCGCAATCCACTCACAGACGAAGCCCCCCGCTGGAGACATCGTCATCATTTGCCCTCTTGGGGTGCTCAAGTGATATGCCTGGTAAAGTCAGTCGCTGACCCGCTCGTTTCGAATAGAAGGTGGAAGCCTCAATAGGGCGGTTTCTCCCGCTCGCTACTCGAGACTTCCCACAATGTGAGTGAGTGTGCATGGTGATGGTGAATTTGGAATGAGGAGTCAAGACGCAGCTGTAAATGTGATTCGCGGCGTTGAAATTCCAGGAACGGTGTTCTGGCGCAGTCAAGATTTTCAAAGGGTTCCCTTCCAACGATACACTTCCTTCTGTGATAACGAATCCTTGTAGGGGCAGGGGAAAGCTGAGGGTGGATTGCAGAATCGTTGATGCGTCTTCGGTTTGCACTGGTGACCTCCTCCTCCTCCTCCTCCTCCTCCTCCTCCCCCATTTCTCTTCCATATAAAACATTCCTCCGTGTCGCACCTCAGGCGTGACGGCAGTGCGGGCTGGGCGTTTCGCCTGGACATCCCTCACCATTTCCAATCCAGGGGCTGAGAATTTGCAAGGGCGGGCCGCTTTCAAACTGTGACTTTCGCCCTAGCGCCGCGCCCATTCGCCCTGAACAGTTGCAAGGGGATTCGCGGATGCAAGGCGTGCCGTTTTCAAACTGTGGCTCTCGCCACAGCGCCGCGCACATTCGTCCGTGAAGCTTGCAAGAGTTTCACGGATGGAGGGCGGCCCGTTGTCACCATATGGCTCTCGCCTAGCGCCGCGCGCGTTCGTTTTACACATGTTCAAGAACTCACGGGTGGAGGGCGGGCCGCCTTCAAAATGTGGCTCCCGTCTTAGCGCCGCGCACATTCGTTCTGAACAGTTGCAAGGGGCTTCACGGATGGAGAGCTAGTCCTTTTCAGAATGTGCCTCTCGCCCTAGCGCCGCGCGCATCCGATTTAAATTTGTGCGAATTTCACGGATGGAAGGCGGGCCGTTTTCAAGTTGTGGATCTCCCCCAGCGCCGTGCACATCCGTCTTACACAAAAGCAATCATTTCACGGATGAATGGCGGCCCGTTTTCAAACTGTGGCTCTCGCATTCGCGCCGCGCACATCCGTGCTAAACAATGGTAATCGTATCGCGGGTGGAGGGCGTCTCCTTTTCAACATGTGGCTCTCGCCTTGCGCCGCGCACATCCGTGTTAACAGTTTGCAACACTCTCAAGACTTCCCGTTGTTGCCGTCCCAGAAATTGTGTTTTCGCACGGTGTCGGACTGTCATAGCGTAAGAAGTATGTTGATTCTCGATGCTGGAGTCCCAGGATTTGCTTTCTGGCACGATTCAGGATTTTCAAACGGTTGTTTTCCAACGGGGCACTTCCCTCAATGAACATGAACACTTGTAGTGGCCTATGAAGCGGGACCTTGGAGGGAGGTTTTCTGCAATACCGTTGATGAGTCTTGGGTTCACGCTTGTCCTCCCCCCCCTCCTCCTCCTCCTCCTTCTCCTCCTCCTTCTCCTCCTTCTCCTCCTCCTCCTCCTCCTCTTTCCTGGCCCAGAGGAGCGTGGTGGCGCGGGGTTACGGACCACGTTCTTGGCCTCGAGGGAAGTCATCAACGCGCTCCTGGACCAAGTCGACACGGGCTGGGCGTCCACCATGAACACGGCGTCGCCCACGACGAGTCCTGACAGCGAGGGAGAGCAGACGAACCAATCGGTCCCCTCGCATCGGGGGGCCCGCCTGGGGGAACGAAAACTGCCACTCCCCGGGCCGGGTCGCGAGTGGGACGACGCCAAGAATCAACACGAACAAACAAGAACAAACCACACTAACAACAGCAATCATTTTTAAGTCTGTTCGTTCTTACTGGCTGGCGCGTTGTTTAACATGCAGATCCTGAACGCTCGATACCCGGCCTCTTCGTCTTCGATCGTGCCCCCTTGGAAGCCTATCTTCCTTACCCGCCACGTGCAGTTGGCACAACCCCTGAAACAGGGGAAGGGAAGGGAGGATGGAAGCGACACAGGGGGAGGGAGAAGGATGGAGCACGAACAACAATTGTTGGGGGGCGGAAAGATACGGATACGTGTTGTCCCCGGACCTCTCTTGGGGTGCGTTCTGACCAGAATTTCGAGGCGAATCCAGCGGTGACAACGAGGATTCCCCAGGAGGACCAGGAAAGGCCGAAAACGAAGGGGGACGACACGTATCCGTATCTTTTTCTCCCCCGAAATTGCAGGAAGGGGGGTTAGGAACGGGAGTGCAAGCGGCAGAACCAGGCGGGCGGGCCGGGCGGGCGGACCCTAACGGGCAGGGTCGGGCGGGAGGGGCCTCGACGGCGGTGCCGAGCGGGCGGGGCGCTGAGGCGTCGATCCAACAGGAAGCGCAGGGAAGTCTCGAGCGACAGCGCGGTTCTAAAGTACTCCAGATTTCGTAATAAAAGGGAGGGGGTCTCATTTCGGGGGGGGGTCTCTTCCAGGCTATCTTGGAGGGCCTGGGGGGGTCTGGGGACGATGTTTTGGAGGGTTCTCCCACGGGGGGGGTCTAAAACTTCTCGTCTGGGAGGGTTGAGACCCCCTCCCTTTTATTACGAAATCTGGAGTACCTCGTGAGTGCTGGGAGCACGGCGTCGCAATACATTGCGAGGGAACACCACGCGAGAGCGCGATCTCTGCAAAACTTCTGAGGACGTCTCGCGCGAGAGCGCGACTTCCCAATACACTGGTGGGAAATATCCGGCGGGAGCCGTTGTTGTAGACCGGGGACCAACACCCCAGTTTGGTGACACCATATTTTCCCTGATTCAAGACAGGCTGCGAACCCTGGGAGGGGCGCCTCCGTTGAAAACGTAAAAAGGTCACCGGAGGGGGGATCAACAATCGATATTTTCCAGAAAAGGAAATTCAACAACAACGACAACAACAACGTCACCACCACCAACAACAACAAGGCATCAGCGCCTATGTTGCCCCTCCCCACCCATGGGGGGGTGGGGCAGCAGCCAGCAGCCAACATCCAACACTCATACAAACAACAAACCAAACAATCCATTGGAGCTCATAGGAGGTAAACTCGGCCCTGCCTTCGCCAAACGCTCGCGCGCTGGCGAAGCGACGCCGCTGGCTGCGTCCTCTAATTGGATGCTCGTAAAGATGGATGGAGCTCCACTAGGATCTCTCATAGGATCCTATTAGGGACGCATGGAGCTCCAATCGGATCCTATCAGGGACGGATGGAGCTCTGATATAATCTTCTTAGGGGTGGCTGAAGCTTTAATAGGACCCGATTAGGGATGGATCGAGCTTTCATAAGGTACTATTCGGGACGGATGGAGCTCACACAGGATCCTGTTAGGTATGGATGGAGCTTTAATAAGATCCTGTTCGGGATGGATGGAGCTCTGGTAGGATCCGATTAGGGATGGATGGAGCTCTAATAAGATCCTATTAGGAATGGATGGAGCTCAAATCGGATCGTATGAGGGATGGATGGAGCTCTGGTAGGATCCTATTAGGGATGGGAGCTTTACAGTAGTAGGATCCTAGATGGATGGGGCATTTATAGGATCCTATTAGGGATGGATCGGATCCTGTTAAGGATGGGCCGCAAGCGTCGCATGGAGACCCATCGTAGGGCCACCAAACGTGTGAACGTTGCTCCGAAATCGGCCCAAGGCGTACCGTGGAGCCCCTTCGTGGGGCAGCAAAGCATGTGAGGGGTGCTCCGAAATGGGCCCGCAGCATACTGTGGAGTCCTCTCGTTGGCTCACGAAGCGCGTGAAGGGTGCTCCGAAATTAGCCCGAGGCATCCGAAATAAATCCCGATGCCTCTGGTGGAGACCCCTAAACGTGTGAGAGGTGCCCCCAAATGAGTCCCGTGGAGACCCTTCGTGGGACAACGAAACATGTGAAGGGTGCTCCGAGATGGGCCCGGAGCGTCCCGTGGAAACCCCTCGAGAGAACACGAAATGTGTGAGGGTGATGCCAAGTGGGCCCGAAGCGTCCCGCGGAGACACTCCACAATGGCAATGCGCCGCGCGAGGGCACCCCGAATTGGGCCCGAAACGTCCCGTGGAGGCCTCTCGTGGGGCCACGGAACGTGCGAGGGGTGCTCCGACATGAGCGCGGGGCGTCCCGCGGAGACCCTCGAACGGCAGCGAAACGTGTGAGAGGTGCTCCAACATGGCACCGAGGCATCCGAAATGACTCGCGTTGCCTTCGGTGGGGACATCTCGTGGGGCCACGAAACGCGTGAAAGCTGCACCGAAATGAAACCGAGGCGTCCCGTGGAGACCCCTCGTGGGGCCACGAAACGTGTGAAGGATGTTCCGAAATGAGCCAGGGGCGTCCCGTGGAGACCCCTCGTGGGGCCACACCCCGAAATTGGCCCGAGGCATCCTGTGGAGACCCTTCGTGGGGCCACGGAACGTGTGAGGAGTGCTCCGAAATCGGCCCGTTGGCGTGGGCGTGGGCTTGGGCTTGCGCGTGGGCGTGGGCGTGGGCGTGGGCGTGGATGTCGGTGCGGGCGTGGGCGTGGGCGTGGGCGTGGGCGCCGGTGTGGGTGCTGGCCTGCTGTTCCCCCCTCCCTGGGCGTGGGCGTGGGCGTCGGTGTGGGTGCTGGCCTGCTGCCCCCCCCATCCCCACTCCGGGGACGGGGCACACAAAGGCGTTCACGCCGACAACAGCAGCAACAACAAACAACACTAATTAACAGCAACAACAAAAACAACAGCAACGACGACAACAGCATCAGCAGCAGCAACAACAGCACCAACACCATCACCAACAACAGCCACGATAACAACAACAACAACAACATCAGCAGCAGCAGCAGCAACACCAACACCACCGCCACCGCCACCACCACCACCAACAACAAGAGCAGCAGCAGCAGCACCACCAACAACAACATCAAACACACCACCAGCAACAACACCAACAAGCACAACAAACAGCAACAAGAGCACCAACACTCACTTTAATCATGCTCGATCCTATCTGCTCGCATGCCACTCAAAACATATATCCCAAACCGTCGGTACCCGCACTCTTCGTCTTTGATCGTAACCCCTTGGGGGTATATCTTCCTTGTAGTTGCCACGTGTATATAGCGCAGCCCTTAGATAGGTGAAGGGGAGACGGATGAAAAGGGGAGGGAAAAGGATGAAGCATGAGACAAATTCGCAGGAGGGGGGTTTGGAGCAGAAAGCAAATGGCAGAACCGCAGATCGGGCGGGCAGACCCTAACGGACGGGTCGGGCATGCGGGTCCAGGCGGCCAGGTCGGACAGGTGGGCTGCTGAATCATGCATGAATCGCGAGGAAATCTAGAACGATGGCGCGATTCAAGGAGAAATCTTGAGACCGGCCACAGCGAGAGCGTGGTTCTTGAGTGTCGAGGGCGCGGCGTCTGAATACATTGCGAAGATATTCCATGCGAGAGCGCGATTTCTGCATACATTGTGGAGAATTTTCGCGCAAGAGCGCGATTTCGGAATACATTGCGGGGACGTGTCACGCGGGAACCGATGTTGTTGTAGTTGTGGTTCGGGGCCCAACAACGCAACTTGAACAGGAAGATTGTCCCGGATGAAAAAACAACGTGCGAGCCCCGAGGGGGGCGCTTCAATTGAGCAAACACCATGTGCACCGGTGGGGGGATCCACAATAATGACAGCGACAACAAGGCAAAAACAATCCGCACCGCGGAACTCCACTTCAGCCACGCACCCAGGGACGGTGAGTGACCGTTCGGCCCCCTCACTCGAATACATAATTTTAATTCCTCGTCCTCCTTCTCCTCCTCCTCTTCCTATCGCTACCCTCGACTTTCCATTCCCCTTCCTCGCCCTCTCTTGGCTCCTATTCGGCCCTGTTGCTGCTGTTCTATTCGATGCTATGGAGCAGGGGGCGTGGACTGGCATTGATGGGGATGGGGAGAAAGGGGGGAAGCGGCGGAGGACTGCCAAGAGATGGGGGATTGCTCTCCCGCAGTCCTGGCTGGCGAGCGGTCTCCAGGCGGTGCGCGCGGCGCGCGCGCGCGAGGCGGTCCAAAGCAGGCCAGGGGCCAACGCGCGCGCGGGCCGAGCAGCACCGCTCAGGTGGCGTTCGCCACCTGGTTGCCAAGGTCGGCGATCTGCAGCACCGCAGGCACGGCGAGGCGAGACAAAAAGAAAAGCAGGGCGGGGGCCGAGAAGCTGCAGAGTCCGCGGGCGCTCTGGAGGCCTGGGGGATAGGAGGGTCATCCTCCCGTACGCCTGGCTGGCGAACGGTCTCTGGGCGGTGCGCGCGGCGCGCGCGCGCGCGGGCGGCCCCAGAGAGGCCAGGGGCCGACGGGCGCGCGGGGCGAGCGGCGTCGCTCAGGTGGCGTTTGCCACCTGGTCGCCGAAGTCGGCGATCTTGGACGCCCGAGTTATCCGGGGTAACTCGGGTCCGGGGTAACTCGGGTTTGGGTTCCCGAAAAACGAACCCGAGTTATCCCTGACCCGAGTTATCCCTGATGATTCGGGGCTCTGGACGCCCGAAATATCCGGGGTAACTCGGGTCCGGGGTAACTCGGGTTTGGATTCCCGAAAAACGAACCCGAGTTATCCCTGACCCGAGTTACCCCTGATGATTCGGGGCTCTGACGATCTGCCAATGCCAGGCCCAGGAACCTCGAGAAGTGAGAAGGCTTTGACGGGCGGCAGCAGGGAGAATGGAACAGAGGAGCGGCGCGCCTAGAGCCCTCAGCTGATGGTTCCACCGAGTACGGAAGCCGCTCTGCCCGAAGGGTGCGAGAAGATCGGTGGGCCGCAAAACACCGAAGAGACCGAACACCTCATCCAGGATCCGGACCGGGGCACGGTCGGAATAACGCAGCTGCTGGTCTTGGCGGGCGTTTCTCTGGCGCGCTGCTCCCCCTGCGGGGCCGCAGCGCGGTCGCCGAGAAGGCTATGAAGGGCTCGGGTTAGGTCGGGCCTGTCCCCCTACAGGGGGATTTTGGACGGCAAATGAAAAGTACCCCAAAAATGCCCAAAAGTGGTCGATCAAATACCCCCAAAAATAATCCCCAGACTGTTTTCGGACTATTTTGACGAATTATTCCTCCAGAGGGACGGGCCCGACTGAAGGCTCGTGCCAGCCAGAGGGGCGGGGGCGGGCTCCTCGACCCGGGGCCGGGGGGGGGGGGGGGAGCGCCGCCGAGGCCGCCGAGGCGCAGCGTCGGGGCGCTCGGCTGCACGTCGGGGGCGATCGCCCGAGGAGGCGCGGCGGCCGGTCGGACGGCGGACGCCTTCCCGCCTGATGCAGGCCCTGCTCCCTCGGCGTCGAGACAGAGCTGGTGCAGGGTCGTGGCGGCGTGCCGCGCCCATGCGGCGCTGGCCTGCCTCGCCGGCGGCGGAGCGCGCGGCCGCCGGGCTGCTCGCGGCGACCCCGCTCTCTGCGCGGGCAGCCGGGCCCCGCCGGATGCGACAGCTTGGCTCCCACCGGCGCGCGCGCGCTCCGCTTAACGCCGCCCCTTCCCAGTCCGATCGGCGCACGCCGCCCGTCGAGCGCCGCGGGCATCGGCGAGCGCCGCCTCGGAACCGACGGTTCGCGCGAAGCGGGGCCGCTCCTCCCCGCGCCTCGGCCCTCGGCCCCCGGGCGCCCCCGGGCGGCGCGCGCCTCCCGCGCGCGCCGCGAAACGGGGAGCTCTCGGAGCTCGCGGCGCCCCTGGAGCCGAGAACAGGCAGCTCGCCGCCGCCCGTGGTCGCGGCTATCGCGCCCATCCGCGGACCCGCCGCGGGAGGCGGACTGGCCCGTCGCAGCGTCGCTGAATGGCCGCGCGCCAACCAGCCCCACTCCGCCCGGGGCCGCGCCACCCGCCGCCCGAGCCGGCGGAGGAGGCGCCGCGCGGAGCCGGTCGCCCGCCGCCGCCGAACGCGAGGGCCCCCGCCCCGCCCGAGTTCGACAACCAGCGAGAGGCCGCCAGGGGGGGGGGGCGACTCGCCCACCCGGGGAGGCCTGGCGGCGAACGGAGACGCCCGCCCTGGGCCCCCTATCGTGAGCCCCGGCGCGGGGCCAGCGGCGGCGTCGGGGGCCACGGCCTCTCGAGGCGGTCGGCCGCGCGCCTCCCTCGCCCAGGGGGCCAGAGGCGGGAGGGCGCACCTGGTGGTGCCCCATGCGAGGGCTGCGTTGCCAAGCGGAGCAGTGGAACCAGGGCGAGGCCACGACGGGAGGGGAAGGACTGGAGAGAAAGCGGAGGTTAGGAGGGCCCAGCAACTCCGACTCCTCCACCCCGAACGCAGCTTTCTTCGCGGCCGCGCGAGAATGAGCGGCAGTCGACGGCCGATGCGCGAGAGGTGTCTCTTCCCCGAACAGCTGAGCCCGAAGGTCGGACGGGGGCAGCGCTGCGTTGCGGTGCATGGCGCGTGGCGTGGCGCATTGGCGCATGATCTCCTCGTTCTCGCCCTCCACTTCTCCTCCGAATGGTTGCCTTCGGCTTGAGAGGTTTGGCGGCCGCAAAACCTTAAGGAGGGGGCCCGGGGGGCAGCGCGGCCCAACGAGCGAGGGGCCTCCAATGGGAAGCCGCCGAAACGCTGAGGCGCGTGGCAGCGTTCGACAAGACGGGCAGACCCGCCCGAGAGGGAAAAAGCGGTTGCAGCGACCACCACCCCTTTCGCCCCGCAGGTGGCAGAGGGCGGCGGGCGGAACCCGAGGAGACAGGGCTCGCGGAGCCGAGCTCCGAGGTGACCGCCGCACGCGGCCGCGGTGGCGAGCGGAGAGGGCGGGCGCCCCCCTCGCTCAGAGACGACGGTCCGCTTGCGGCGGGCAGTGGATCCCAACGCAGGCGTTTTTTTGTTCTTCTTCTTCTTCTTGACGCCTCCCGCGCGGGCGATGCCTCCGCCCACAGCAGGCGCTCCTCCTCGGGAGTGAGCGCTGGCAGGCAGGCGTGCACCGTGGCCGCGGCCCGGCGCCGGACGGGGACGGGGCGCAGCAGCGGCCTCGCCCGAACCCGAACCCGCGCGGGCAGCGGCCCGGGAACGCGGTGACCGCGCAGCCGCCAGATGGCAGCACCCCGGCGCGCGCCGCGGCGGCCGCGGGCGCGCGCGGGGCCTCCCGCTGGCACGCTGGGGCCGATGGGGCGGCAGACCCCGCGAGCGCCCTGGAGGCATGGAGAACGGGAGGGTCACGAGGAGTGTCACGGGGACGCTGGCCGAGAAGAAAGCGGGAGGACCAGAGGGGGAGGAGAAGGAGAAGGCAGCGAAGTGATGGGGGGAATCCGTGAACCGCCCGAGGCTGAGTTGTAACGCGCCCCAGGCAGACTCCACATCGCGAGACCAGGCATGGAGTAGCGCATTCCGACGCAAGTCCAAATATTTGCAAAACAGGAGCGGGACCCACCAATACAAAACGTCTCCCCTCTTCCCCTCCTCCTCATGCTCACCTTCTCCTCCGCCTCTTCCGGTTTCTCCTCTTTCCCTTCTCCCCCCCTTTCCCCCGAACCCTACTTCTTCTCTTCCTCTGCCCCCTGCCCCCTCCCCATCCATTTCCTCCTCCTCCTCCTCCTCCTCCTCCAACTCCTCCTCCTGCAACCCTGGGGGGTCGGTCCCGAATCCGCGGGGGTCCCCCCGGAAACCGGACGGCGCGCCGGCCCGTGTTCAAATTCGTCGTTCCCTTCCTCTCCCTCTTCAAAATCGTCCTTGTCCTCCTCCTCCTCCTCCTCCTCCGCCACCTTTCTACGTTCCACTAGCGTGGGCTCTCGAGCCGCCGCGTCTTGCCACCGAGAACTACAAACAAAAAGGAAGCCCGACTTGGGCGAGGTGGCCTCAGGAACCAGACGAGGCATGTGACAAAACGCAGAAGCTAAAGAGGGCACGCATATACTGCGCCGATCCGAGAGTTTCCCCAATTTCGACACCGTGCTCGCCGCGGCCATCTGGGGTGGCGCGCGCGGGATAAGACTCGCGGGGCCCGAGGACGGACGGGGGCGATGTCGCGAGGGCAGAGTCGGCGCGCCGATGGGCAGCCGGAGGGGCCCAGTACAATGCAAGGGCAGAGCCTAACCCCCGCCCGGGATCGCGGGATCGGGTTCCCCTTTCTTAAAAATCTTAAATCCCAAACGGTGTACTGACCCGGCAATGAGCAAATAGCATAGGACTTCCTCGAACAAAGCTTTCGGGTTCGGTCATGCGACGACCCGAAAAGTTTACCGGCCGACCTGGAAGTGGCCAAATACCTTTAGACTTGTGCGAACAAGAAATCGACCGACCGCGCCCTTCCAGTATAGCGTTTGCGCTGCATTCGTGCGGCGCCGTGCCTCTCGAATCGGAATAAATTTTCGGAGCGCCGATGTAACATGAGCTCGGCCTACAAGGGCACACGGAGCAAACTCGGCGTGCTCCTCCTTCTCCTCCTCCTCCCTCTCCTCCTCCACCTCCTGGCATACCTTCTCGTTCTCTGCACCCCTCCCCCGAGGGCGAGAAATGTGAGACCGCACTACTCCTTCCCCCCCCCCCGCTTTCCTGACGGGCAACGTTATGGGGGGACCAGCTCAGGGGAGAAAGCACTGACCTGGAATCGGCGATGCATCGTCGACAGATCGGCGATAGGCCCCCGATAGCGAATCCGCACGGTCCTCATCGGGCCCCTATCGGAGACGAGAGTGAGCGGTCGTCGGTCGATGTGCCTCTCCCTGAGCCTGCCCCCCTCCTCACGTTGCCCTTGAGTCCCCCGCCCAGGCAAAGCACGCCTGCTCTCCAGGCCGCGGAGCCGGTGAGCACCTTTTTGTATCGTTCAACCGATCCCCATCCCCAGCGGCGTGGCCTGGGCCCCACTGGCCGATTTACCCCCCTAGATGGGGATACAGGTCGTTCCCTTTGGGTTTCGAGGGGTGTATCCCCAACTGGGGGGGTGATTTGGTGGGGGTCTCGAAGGGAATGGGGATAGGGATAGGGATTGGTTAAACGATACCGAACCTTCGTGAAGGCTGGCAATCTGCCGTGCATCTCCAGCTCCACAGCGCCGTGGGCGGCCTCGTCTGCCGCGTCCGCCGTCGCCGTCGCCCGCCACCACCGCCGCCGCGGACTCTCGCGGCCGAGCAGCAAGCATCCGCGCGTGCGCGCGCGCCCACTCGCGCACGCGCGTGCATCGAGCCTATGCCGCATACGCCGTACGGATTTCGGTTGGGTCGTGTGCGCCGCACCTCCGATCTCGCTGCGGGGCGTCCTCATAATGGGCGCGATGTCCAAATCAATACCAGAGACATGCGATCGGCAAACATTTTCCTGTGCATAAAGAAAGAATGAACGCCGATCTCAACCGCGCGAAGCGCACAATCGCGCGAGAAGCGCGTAGCGCGCAATGCTTTCGGGGGAGCGTCAGGTTGCAGGGCTCGCTGCTGGTGTTGTGGCCTGCGCGCGGCGTCCTCCCAGTCATTTCTCCCATACGTCCTCGCGCCCACCAACTCGTGGACCCATGTGCATCCGATGTGGATCAGGGCTGAACCGAAACGGTTTTTTCGTTTTCGTTGTCTTTTCGTTTTCCATCGCTCTTGTCTCGAATCCGCCTCATCCGCAAAACGAAGTCGAAACGAAAACGGCCCACGCAATCGCCAGAACACCGCTTAGGTCCAGCCCTGCGCCCTCGCGCCCGCCAGCTCGTGGACCCACGTACACCCGACGTGGATCCGGCACGAACGGGATCTCGGGCTGACGCGCGCGGCCTCCAGGATGCTCCCCAGAAGGATCCATTTGAAGGGGCCCTGGGACACACACACACACATAAAAACACACAGATAAAAGGATTCCCCATATTTTCCCATATTCTCTGGGTTTCTGTCTTCCCCCCCACTTCCTATATTTTCCTATATTTTCCTGGGAATCGAAGATTAATTGTGTCTGTGTGTTTTTTCCCCTCCTGACCATTCCCAGACCCCAGACGCCTGGATTTTTTGACAGCGTCGACCCCCAGAAGTCTGGGCCCACTCCCAGGGACCGCCACTCTGTCCCGAATCGTTCTTTGACGGTCCTGGGCCCAGCGAGGGCCCCCCAAATGCCGAACACAGCGGAAAACCGTCCGTCGTGATCTTTTCATGAACCGAGGGGGTCTGGGTTCCCAGACCCCCTTGCGCAGCGCGCACAGAAGCACCACGGTGTCTCTTGAGACGGTGTTTTTTGGCCACCAGGATGTTCTTCAGTGAGACCCAAGGATAGGGAGCCCACAAAGGACGTACGCGCCCAGCTATGTACATGAACGCGGCCCCTCGATCCGCGAGACTGGCCGCGTGCTACGAACATTCGGGCAATGCGTACTCTCGGAACCAGCGTGGATTCATGTACGTGTACGTCCTTCTTTCGCTCCTGAAAGGAGGTGGTGAGACTGTTGATTCGCGGGGATGTGCAAAAAGAAAAAGGACCAATACAGTCGGGGCGTTGACCGAAGGAACCCTAAATAAGGAACGAGGCCCCTTTTTTCCATAAGTTAAACTTCGATTTCCTATCGAAGACATAAGGAAAGCCCGAGGCAAGCCGTGAAGCACTTAAGGAACGCGGAGCCGCTCCCCAACGAAAAGGGTTCCTTCTTCAGGGCCCCGACTGTACTAGTTAAGCACGTCGGGCCCGCGGCCTCGCCCGCACCGCGCACCAGGGCGAGCTCGAGCTCGACGTAGGGCTCCCACGGGTCGCGGAGCTGCTCCTGCTGCGGCGAGGCGGGCGGCGGGGGGCCCGGCGGCCAGGCGGCCAGGGAAGGGCCGCCGGGGCGGGGGGCATGTGCGACCCGCTGTCTGTAGGATTACAAGGAGGCTTTGTTGATGGATTCCCGAACGGTTGGAACGCTACAGATCAGCAGTTCGTTCATCATACTCGCTTATCGTCTTCTTCCTTTCTCACTGTGGTCCATCATCGTATTCCTCCTCCTCCTCCTCCTCCTCCTCCTCCTCCTCCCCATGGTCATCCTCGGTCTCGCTCTCGTGATTCCCCCCCCGCAATTCACATTCTTTTGTCTTTTTGTAGCAGCCTTGGCACATATATTCCTTTTGCTGCGACCTTACAACAGGATCTTATGTGTGAGGGATCTGCAGTGGCCTCCACAATCAGAAGCCTTTTGCAGCAGCCTGTGCAACAAAGGTTCGTTTTGTGGCGGCCTTTCAACGGGTTTCAATTCTAAGGGGTCTAACGGTCCTGGGACCGTCGGTGGAGTTCTCTATGGGGCCACGAAGCGCTGTACTGGGTGCGGGAGGCGCATGCGGACTGCGCCAGTGTGGCCTTCGGTGGAGCCCTGTATGGGGCCACGAAGCGCTGTGCTGGGTGTGGGAGACGCATACGGGCTGCGCCGCTGGGACCTTTGGTGGAGATCCTTGTGGGGTCACGAAGCGTTGTTTTGGGTGTGGGAGATGCATGCGGGCTGCGCCATTGGGACCTTCGGTGGAGCTCCCTACGGGGCCACGAAACGCTCTGCTGGGTGTATGAGACGCATTCGGGCTGCGCCACTGGGACTTTCGGTGGAGCTCCCCATGGGGCCACGAAGCGTGTGAGGGGTGTGCCAAAGTGAGGGGGATGACGGGAGGAGGGAGGAGGGGGAGGAAGGAGGAGGGGGAGGAGGGCGAGGAGGAAGGAAGGAGGAAGGTCGCGGGGCGCTGTCTCTTCAAAACGAGGATCCAACACCACAGGATGCTTGAGGAATGGGAAGGGATGGAGAGATATCGCATATATGGAGGATAGGAAGGGGGCGGACTGGTGCCCCCTCTGGCGCCCTCATGGGCTTTAAGACGTCGGCTTCTGACACCGCGCGGGTCGATCAGCGATGGTTGATCCCCGCTGTCCGACATCGAAGACCGTTCAGGATTGGCGTGGCTCAGGTCGCCCGGTGCCTTCAACCTTGAAAACGCCCGTGCTGGCGTCGCCGTGGCGCGAACCTGCTGTACCCCCTCCTTCCCTTCCCTCCATGCTCTCTTCCCCTCCCTTCTCCTCGCGCTCGAACCGGATCATCAGCGGCCTCAGCCTGAGCAGCGGCAAGAGCTCCGCGCGGCCCTTCCCGCACGTCCTGGCAGCGAGTGGAGGGGGAGGGAGAACGGGGAAGGGAGCGAGGAGGGAGGGAGGGAGGGAGGGTGGGAAGGGAAGGGGGGAGGGAGGAGGGAGGGAGGAGTGAGAAGGCATGAGGGATGGGCAGAGGGCTGGGCTGGGTCATCGGCTGCGTGAGGAGGGTTGGCGGGAGGGAGGAGATGCGGATGATGATCAGGGAGAATGAGATAAAGGGACGAGAATGCAGGGAGGGAGGGGGAGGCGGTGGAGGATGAGGAGCAGGAGGAGGGGGATGACGAGGAGGTGGGAGGATCCATCCTTCGAGTTCTAAGGACTGCGTCAATATAGTTTTTGTGGTAAGAAATTAGAGGAAATGCCCAACGACAACCCCGCCTTGACAATTAACCACCCTGCATCCGTGCAATTGTTGCGCAGTTTCGTGTTCTTATCAGAAGATGAAACCAGATTTCATGCGATGTGGTCATTTTGAAACTGCCCTGAATCAATGTAGCTCTTGCACATTGTTGCACACGTGGCAAGATTTGTTCAGGAAATCTCACGCGAGAACTCGGCATGAACTGCTTTCGCCGACGGCTTGTTTTGCCCCGCTGGTTTCGCCAGCGCTGGTTTTGCCCCGCCGGTTTCGCCAACGGCTGGTTTCGCCGACGCGACCCTTAACGGACCGGTCGGGTCGAGCGGGCGGACCCTGGGGGGGGCGGGTCGGGTCGGGCGGGCGAACCCTGATGGGCGGATCGGGTCGGGCGGGCGAGACATTAAAGTGCGGGGCACGCTCGAGCGAGCACGCGCGAACCCTAACGGGCGGGTCGGGTCGGGCGGGCGGTCCGTAGCGGGCGGGACGGGTCGGGCTGAGCGGGCGGACCCTGATGGGCGTGTCGGGTCGAGCGGGCAGGACGTGAAAGTGTGGGGCGCGCTCGACAGAGCATGCGCGAACCTTAACGGGCGGGGCTGGTCGGGTCGGGCGGGCGGGACATTAAGGTGTGGGGCACTTTCGACCGAGCACGCGCAAACCTTCACGGGCGGGTCGGGTCGGGCGGGCGGACGCTAGCGGGCGGGTCGGATCGGGTCGGGCGGGCGAACCCTGACGGGCGGGTCGGGTCGGGCGGGCGGGTGGTACATGAAAGTGTGGGGCACGCTCGACCGAGCACGCGCGAACGCTAACGGGCGGGTCGGATCGGGCGGGCGGACCCTAGCGGGTGGGTCGGGTCGGGTCGGGCGGGCGGGCCCTAACAACGGGCGGGTCGGGTCGGGTCGGGCGGGCGGACCCTAACGGGCAGGTCGGGTCGGGCGGGGGGACCCTCGCGAGCGGGTCGGGTCGGGGCGGGCGAACCCTGACGGGCGGGACGGGTCGGGCGGGCGAGTGGGACACTAAAGTGCGGGGCGCGCTCCACCGAGCACGCGCGAACCCTCACTGGCGGGTCGGGTCGGGCGGGCGGACCCTGGCGGGTGGGTCGGGTCTGGTCGGGCGGGCCCTGATGGTCGGGTCGGGTGGCCGGGACAAAAGTGTGGGGCGCGCTCGACCGAGCACGCGCGAACTTTAACGGGCGGGTCTGGTCGGGCGGGCGGACCCTAGCGAGCGGGTCGGGTGGGTCGGGTCGGGCGGACCCTGAGGGGCGGGTCGGGTCGGGCGGGCATGCCTTTCAAGAGTGGGGCACGCTCGACCGAGCACGCGCGAACCCTAACTGGCGGGTCGAGTCGTGTGGGCGGACACTAGCTGGCGGGTCGGGTCGGGTCGGGCGGGCCCTAATAACGGGCGGGTCGGGTCGGGCGGGCATGGCTTTCAAGAGTGGGGCACGCTCGACCGAGCACGCGCGAACCCTAACGGGCGGGTCGGGTCGGGTCGGGCGGGCGGGCCCCAATAAAGGGCGGGTCGGGTCGGACGGGCATGGCTTTCAAGAGTGGGGCACGCTCGACCGAGCACGCGCGAACCCTAACCGGCGGGTCGGGTCGGGCGGGCGGACCCTAGCGGGCGGGTCGGGTCGGGCGGGCGGGACATGAAAGTGTGGGGAGCGCTCGACCGGGCACGCGCGAACCCTGACGGGCGGGTCGGGTCGGGCGGGCGGACCCTAGCGGGCGTGTCGGGTCGGGCAGTTTCGCAGACGGCAGCTGGTTTCGCCGAGGGCATCTGGTTTCGCCGACGGCAGCTGGTTTCGCCGACGGAACTGATTTCGCCGACGCAGCTGGTTCCGCCAGGCGGCGAAACCAGCCGGGTGAAACCAGCCGTCGGCGCAACCAACGGTCGCCGATAACTCCATGTCGAATACGTGCTGGCCTCTGTAACCTGTTTAAAACGAATGTGCGCGACACTGAAGCGAGAACAACACTTTGGAGACGGCCAGCCCTCCATCCGTGTAGCTGCTGAGAGCTCTACAGAGATACGTGCGTGGCACTAAGGCGACAACCGCGTTCAAACATATTAAAACAGGCACTCCATCCGTGCAATTGTTCGAATGTCAAGCTTTGGGGAACCAAGTCGTAGGGGTGTCAAGCGAGTGGTGCGCCAGGGTGGAGCTGCTCAGAGAGAGAGAGAGAGAGAGGAGGGACGGAGGAGGAGGAAGAGGTCGAGGAGGAGGGTGAGGTCGAGAATTGAAAAAACACAACTGCATAAAAACATATACACACACACTTTCGGAGGTCCTCGCGGATTTCTTGAATCCGCGCTGGGCCCCCTCCCTGGCGCGCAGAGCGCTCTGGGGGTGGCGCCGCAGGCGCCGCCAGGGGGTCCCCGCGTCCATCCAAGACTCCGAGAGGACCTCCGACAACTTATGTTCATGCCATTTCCTCCCCTTCTTATATCATTTATCGAGAGGAGGAGGCGGAGGACGAAGAGGCAGGAAGATAGCGACGGCGACGAGAACGGCGGCGACGAGCACGGCGACGACGACGAGAACGGAGGCGACGAGCGCGACGACGACGACGAGAACGGCGACGACGACGACGAGAACGGCGACGACGACGAGGATGGCGACGGCGACGAGAACGGCGGCGACGAGCGCGGCGGCGGACAGCGACTCCGGCGGGCGGCGGCGGCGGCTGCGGCAGGTCCTCGTGCCCGCTATCTCCACCAGCCGGTCGCCGCCGGCCGGGCGGGGGGCTCCGGGGAGGGGATGCCGCGAGCTTGCGGCGATGCTCGGGCGCGCTTCGTGCAAGCACTTCGTTAAGCGCACAGCACGAAGCAAGAAGACGCCGCTTCCCGGCGGGGGCTGCCCACGCGGGTGGCTGCACGGCCCAGCCTCTCCCCCGCTCCTCCTCTCTCTGCTCCTCCTCCTCCTCCTCCTCCTCCTCCTCCTCCTCTTCCTCCTCCTTCTACTCTCCCACTTTTTCTCCTCCTCCCCTGTTCCAGCGCCTCCTCCTCCTCCTCCTCCTCTTCCTCCTCCTCCTCCTCCTCCTCCTTCTCACTGAAGAGGAGGAGGAGAAGGAGGAGGAGGAGGAGGAGGAGGAGGAGGGCCCCATGTCGTCGTAAGAGGCGGAGGGGGACGAGGAAGACCCCTCGTCGTCGCACCAGGAGGCTGGAAGCACACGCGACTGGACTCTGGCCCGGCGTGCGATCTGCAAGGCTCCGACAGGCCCATGGAACGGGCGAGGCAGGAGAAGCTGGCAAGGGCCGAGACGAGAGCGCGACCTGCTTGTCCAAGACCTGGGGCGTACCTACTCCTTCTCCTCCTCCTCCTCCTCCTCCTCCTTCTCCTCCCCCTCCTCCTCCTCCCCCCCCGCCACCCCCTCCTCCTCCTCCTCCTCCTCCTCCTCCTTCTCCTCGGCTGCTCTCGCTAAGTCTGGCTTCGCCCCGTTTTTCTAGCCTCCTGGCCGGAGGACGAAAAGGCCGCTTTCTTCAATCCCGAACGCCCGTGCCAGCGCTGCCGCCGTGTCGAGACGGCACGAGCTCTGCGGCACGCAACTCCTGCCGAGGCTGGCCACACCGCTACGCCTGTCGACCTTTCGTGTCGGAGGACGATAGCCCGTGCACCCGACGCCGTGCTTTTTTTTATGACGCCGGCCCCCCAAAATTCACCACCCCATCCCAGGGACTCGCTGCTTCATCCCAACATCGCCAGGCGGGTGGATGTGAAACAATGAATGGGGGGCGACCGATGGTTGCGGGAACGTGGCCCTCAAGGGGCCCTGAACTGCCACACTGGCCTCACAAAAAGACAGACAACTGCGTCTGTATTATGAAGACGAGACCGGGACAAAATCGAACCCAAACCAACCAGAGTTCTCTGAAATCTGGCAGTTCTGCATGTTGTATCGAGCGCCGCGGCCACTCCAGAGCGCTTGGGAACGCTGTGAGAGCGTCCCAGACCGTATAGGAGCGATATTTCCTGTTCATATAGCCCCGCTCGACGTGAACTTCCCTTCCAAGGCCGCCCTCCCGAGCAAAGTGTCTTGACGGTGCCGGTGCCCAGATCGGGCCCCTGTCGGGGATGAATGGGCGATCGGGGGTCGATGCGCCCCCCCCCTGAACCTATCCTCCCTAACGCTGCCCCGTAGCTTTCGGGCAATAACTCGGCTCTCCGGCGGCCGTTCTGGACGATCAAGGCACTGCGGGGACGCTCTGGGCGCGGCGCAACTGCACCCGGAGAGCATCCGGAAAGCCCCGCTCGCGGCCGCAGCCGCAGCCGCAGCCGCAGACGCAGCCGCAGACGCAGCCGCAGCCGCAGCCGCAGCAGCAGCCTTAGCCCTAGCCGTAGCCGCAGCCGTAGCCGCAGCCGCAGCCGCAGCCGCAGCCGCAGCCACAGCCCCAGCAGCAGCCGCAGCCGCAGTCGCAGCCACAGCTGAAGCCGCAGCGCGGCTGGGAGAGGGAAAACCACCACGGATCCGAGAAACCCGCGCGGACCGGCCACCGTTTGTGTCTGTGCCGCTCTTTTTGGTTCCTCGACGCCTCGGGGCGCGCCGTCCCCCGACGCATCGTGCCTCCCAGGGAGCCATGGGCCCCACAAGTCTCTGGCCCAGCCGCGCACCCCACGACGCCGGGGATCGGGGTCGACACATCCGCCGTCGGGACGTGCCAAAACCCGAGCTCCTCGCGCACCCCCCGCCCAACCCCGAGCTCCTCGCGCACCCCCCGCCCAGCCCCCCGCCCGGTGCTTCTGA